CCATCACCCGACATTTGACGATTCTACAAGTTACCTTGCTCACAGCCCTTCACAGCCTAACGAATTTTCTTCTGTAAATTAAAAAAAAGAATCGTCTTATGGAACTCATTTTGTGTGTAGTGTTTTTCTGTTCTTCTTCCTAGTTTATATTGTGTACGCAATATGGGTTTACTCATGGACCCTGGACTTTTCAACACAAGAGAGAGAGAGAGAGAGAGAGAGAGAGAGGGGGGAGATATAAGGGGAGGGAAGAGACAGTAGAGTGACCTCATATGTAAACCACACAAATTTTGGCACGACCTTCAACAGTCCTACCATGATATATGGACTTTCACACACCTTTTATCATGCCATAGTACGTTGGTGAATAAAATATTTCATACGGCTGGGCTTTTAACAAGGGTAAAAGAAAAAAAGAAAAACACATTTGAAAAGGGCATTCTGAAAGAAAACGTACCTTGATTGAAATGATTTGTAAGATATTCACGCTGGTAGATTTTTACAATAAAAAAAATTATGATCATTGGTAGTAACACGAAGAACGTGGGTGCCTGGAAGCTTAAAAACATGTTTGTCAAATAGATTCTAAAGAGTAAAATTACAATGGAAAACTATTTGGAGCGTGTAAGCATGTGCACAATCGGGTATTAATCAATTCTGCTCTAATGCAAACAATCCTGGCTACAGAAATACGAGAAAACTCCGAAAGACATAAAACAGAAATGAAAATGGAAACACTCTACCAGGTCGACCATCCTAAACAAGATAACATAATAATCTAATATAATTTATGAAATAAGTGAAAAAAGTGACAATTCAACCTCACGTATATAACGGACTGCACAGACATTCGGCAAAAAACCCTTGCCCCTGAAGTGTTTTATCTAATATATTTCAAGAAATTATAGGGATGGCACTAAATAAGGGTAGGGGGGGTCTCGAGGGTCCCTTCCCCACCCGCTCCATCAAGAACCACAAATCCCCCTTTTACTTTGTAGAGTGCCCCTTTATACTTCGGATAATTACCCCTGTTCTGATCCTGCAGGGGCCTCTTTTACTTTGACAAGTGCTCCTCGTCAATAGTAATATATTCTCGTTTTCATCTCTGTACAATGCCCCTTTTCATTATGCGAAATACCTCTTTTCAGGTCTAATGAGTGCCCCTTTTGAGGTATGAGAAATGCCCCTTGTCAGCTCTGATAACTGCCCATTTACTTTGACAGGTGGTCCTTTTCCTTGTTAAATATAATAATAATAAAAATACAATTATTTGATATTTTTATAACGCACATAATCCACGCAAGGTGCTCACGGCACTCATACCCAGACTCTGCTAGGCTACTGATTTCGTTTATTCACAGTTTTTAAGGAAGTCCTTCCCACCGGTACCAATTTATCACCTGGGTGCAGAGTGGCAGATTAATATCTTGCCAAATATGTGAGAATAATGTATTCTTGTTTTTTGTATGCGTGTTTGTATTTCATTCGTTTATTCTCTCTCTCTCTCTCTTCCCTTGCTTTTTCTCTCTTTCTCCTCCCGACCTCCCTCTCTCACTCTTTCTCTCTTTTTCTCTTCCCTCTCTCTCTCTCTCTCTCTCTCCATCCTCTCTCTCTCTCTCTCTATTGGCCCTTCCCCACATTTCAGTGTCTACTTACGCCACGCCCTCTCTCTCTTTCTCACACTCTCCAATCCTGTGGAAAGCGCTTTGCCCTTTTCTTTCTTCATGTTGCCCACCTTTTATCGGTCTTATTCCAGTTTACGTCATTAATGCTCTAAGGTGATAATTCAAAATGTAAATGGCTTGCATAATCATTGTATTCAATTTCTTGGATAAATCCTCTTCTACCCTCTCTCAACAAGAAAATTGTAAATTACATTTGTTCGATCAGTTATATAGATCGAACTTTCTCTTGTAAACAGTTATTACAATTGTGTATTCCTCTGAAATTTCATATATTTATGATTATGTACACACATATAATCAACACAATAAACAACATTGGTACAAAGTCAGTATGGGTAAAAGTCAAATGGATTATATTTCCTTCAATTGACAATTTCCTAGGGTTATGATTTATTTAAAAACGACTAGTAATATGTTATATGTAGGAATGTCTGCACTTCTGGGAAATCTCAATTTGACCGTTAATTTTTAATGAGATATTACCTGTTACCAATATATGTACATATTGGGTTACGGTGGTTCATCAAATTATTGATATCCCAATGATGAAACTTACTATGGTCAGTCTAAATGAAACTCTAATCATGCTGATTAAGCTCACAATATATACAAATGGAAATCGACGAATAATAACAATGTACTTGGATGAGCAACATAGATCTGTCCGGCCGGACAGATAAAATAAACGTAACTGTTGTCCTCCTGAAGCTGACTATTGATTAAATCTTAGAACAGCTAGTTGTTTACGACACGATAACAAAATAATATAAAGCAAATGATACACATTTAATATATTGTGTAGGTCTTACTGCTTAGATAAATACATTCAATTGTTATCTCTACAACTTCTGATGAGATAGTTATAAACATTTGTTGTTCTTACAACAAATTCCATATTTCGCAACTCCTTCTGTTAAACTCGTCATACTATTTGTTACAACTTTATTCACATACAAAAGTATACACTCTCATTTATATTTGCAAAATAAATTCAGATATAAAACGTTTGTACAAAGACATGAATTAATACAATGTGATTCCTTGATGAGAACATCATATGTGTATATATATATATATATTTACATATTTACATATTTACATAGTCAACACATTCCGGATATATAGGTGTACGTCTGTATCACGTTACAGCCAGCAGTTATGTATGAACATTGGAAATACATGTATAACAAAGAGAGGAATTCACAGGCTTTCAGATGATTCCAGATTGTCTCAAGGCAATCAAAAGCCTCTAAGAACAACGATATTTTCAGTACAGCTCGAACAAAGAGAATACACCTCTCCCAACGTAACGCACATTGCAAGACTCCACTTCACCTTCCCTTATTCAGGTGTACTACACACAAACTGACAAAATCACTACAACACAGGCATTAATGGAAACGATCATTACAATACAGACATAAATGGAAAGTATAAATTTATAAGATGTTATGGTAAAAACACTGTACAGGAGCGATGGATGTTTAAAATAAAACTTGAAAGAAATTGTCATTTTAGATAAGAATAAACCTTTGACAAGATATCACATGTGTCTATGTCCTATTCAGGTGTACTGATCATATACAAATGTAAACATAACTTACACAAATTGCATCATTATGATATGAAATAGACGCACATTCTAATGATACTAAATAAAATGACAATGATCCTGTCAATCGAGAGAAGTGTTCCATCAAACGCCCTTTTCCAAACTATGTAATGTCTTACTTCTCTCTGTAGGCCGTAGGCCTATTACTCTCCGTAGTACTCTCTGTCTTCAGGGAGGTGAGGTCACGCTTACCTGCTGTCTTACAGCAACGACCGTTGTATGCATGTCTCAAAGAAATTTAGATTGTAGGTATACACCATTTGAACTTGCTTCGTTTAATACCAGAATATTATTACGAGATCGAAATTTCTCATTCTTCTCTCTTGCTACATAAATGACTTTGACAGGGAGACCACAAATCTGGCCATGAATTAGTTGAATATCAAGAATACTAAAACGAAATAAGCTGACTAATTTCTCTCTCTTACAACAGGAATGAACGTTCCACGCACGCCAAAAATGTATTTAAATATACGCAAGATTCGCTCATGATCATGAATATAAAAAATAGATCTAGATGAATAATTCCTCTTTCTTACTACATCAATAACTGTTGCATGCATGTCACAAACTACACTAGATTTTATCGAAGTTCTGGGAAGTGATATAATGACAAAATTCTTCAGGGTGAAAACAATACTAATAATAATAATAGTACGACGTGTATGGTTCATGTTAAATGTTTTGTGTTATAATGTATATAGACATAGTACATAGAACGAATTTGTAAGAGTATATTGGATAGACAAATTGGTATCCTTTCAATTTCAATCACATACATGCTCCGCAAAATATAATCATACTTTATAATGATGTTTTTTCATCAAACTTGGTATTATGTTCATGTAGACAGATTCACGGGCTAACAACCATGTAACAACACGTCAATGATGTATTGATCATTCATGGCATGTAGTTCAACATACAGAAGTTAATAATGCACAATTTAAATCATGTCAACACAAATTTCAATGTTTATAAATGTTATATTTCCATTTGTCTGAACAGCAAACAAAATAAATAAAACTTATTCTAAAAAATAGATAATATACGAACTATGTTATATTAGCACACATGTCCATTTTATCAGATCGTACATCTTATCAAGAAAAGGGAATGTTCACTACGTGACTGTAATGTTTAAATTTAGAAAAAAAATATGTTCTATACTAAAATCGATAAAAGAAAGAATTTCTTGGATAGGACAGAAATAAGACTAAAGCTTTTCTACATCAAGTATATACAATCTACACACAGTATTTTCAACATTTTTTTAAACAATGGATGGATAGATAGTTAAACAGGAAAAACTCTATACAATATTACGTTCATGAAACATATCCTGGGATACCGGAAATCTTTTTTGAACTCTCGCATAATACTTGTATCGCCATGATGAAGGATATATCAACAGATCCTTACGGATGATATTCCTTATGACGTTGTTATGATAGTACAATGCAATATATTATCATCATCATTACATAATAGCCAATATGAGTACACACGCAGGAACGTTATTAAACAATCGATAGAGGTTAAATAACTTTAAATTCATCTTGGTTCAGTTCGGTTCATTTCATATTTCACGTTTCTCGTTCCACATTGTCAGGTTTATTTACAAGAAATGTAATGATAATCACTGTACAGACGTATTTCGAATACACATAAGTTCATAAAATATATCAAATCACCTTGATATGTTTGTAGTTACTTGTAAATTAAGGACTTCAGTAAAATTGGAAATGAGGAAATGAAGGAGCCCAAGTTAAAACATAGCTTGTTGGTTGTACGCTGTATAATTTTATGCTGTATTTTGTATTGCATAGACTGTTTAAACATAATAATCCATCATATTTCCATCATCAGAAAGCCCCCTTTTTATTATATTAAATGGTGAGGGCACACAAGGCGTCAAATTTTTGGGGCTCCATGTGCTTCGACCACAAATATAAGTTATTCATGAAGTATCAAGACAGGGTATAATCAATAATTGCTTAAGATTCTGTATGCCATAACCGTTAACTCTAATGATCCTCCAATTAGTATGATTAGCTAATCGGGTAGCCTGATTGCCCTGGTTGCATCCACATTCGACAGGTTTCATTTTCAAGTCGGACTCCGTAGTAGTCTGCTGCCATCACGTGGTCTGATGAGGGTCACCTTGACAATGTTGACACGTTATGCTTGACGGTCCAATCACATGTTACTCGTGCGTTATCTTCCAATTAATCACTACCTTGGAAATCTCTAAGAATACAAGAAATCATTTATAAATATTAAAAACTATATGTGAATGAAAGAAAAAATATACAACATACGATTTTTAAAAAATGGATGATTTGCTGTTAAATTTGGCAATTGTTATTTTTATGATAATAGTTAAAAAATTAAGCTTCCGGAGATGGCAATATTTTTATGTCAGATATCACATATTGTGTTAACGAATATATCATTTATAATCATTTTTATATAGATGTTTTGTTTGATTTCATTTAACCTTCAACCAGTAACTAAAATGTAATGGATTCAAAGTACAGTATGTTAAAATTGGAGAGAAATTGACAATGATCAAATGCTATGATATCATTTAGTAAAACCAAAATTAGATTTGAATTGAGTACATAGGTCCTAATAATTCTAAAGGATTTGTAGACATTAGTGAGGTATTTTTTTCCTGAAAGGTACTACAAGCATTACATTTCAGGCAGGGAAGATCATGACCAAGGTAGCAGGCAGAGGAAGAAAACATACCGATAGGCCTACACTCCGTACCTATCACCCACCGTAATCACATTATTGCTTAATGACATTTTATTTTGTTTTTGATTACGAAAGTGAGAATATACAAGCAGTTTGATGAGAAAGGATTGCAGGCCACAACAACATTCTTCATATTTAACATGTTTTTTGTTTAAGTGTGACTCGTAAGAATTTCTTTCCAATACATACTCGTATATATAAACTCATGGATATTGGAATATTGTAAGAAGCCTATTTCATCTATCTACTTTTCGCCACGGTGCTAAGTAGAGCTTATTTTTGCTGAGATGCATGCTACATGATCTTTGAAACATTTCTTAAATTAGACCTTGAATAAGATACGTAATTTTTTTCTCGATCTTCTCATATAAAATTAAGGTCATATCGCTTTTTTAAAAAAAGAGGACGAAGTACAATGAGCGTTTTTGCCTTATATAAGTACGTTTTTACTAAGCATGTTCACATGGTTGCGAGGAGTCATTTCTCTATATTTTAGTTCCCGAATTCATTACACAGACCAAGACCAAACCTATTGGTGGACGTGAGCATTTTAATCAGGCCAGAATAAACATATAAAAGACAGCTTAAATTGTGTGTATTGTTTATTCTTGGGTACCGATTGGGCGGAGTAAAATATGGATATACAAAATAGCCTACTTTGAAACGGTGGAATGCAAGAGAGAGGCCGAAGAATCAATCGGAGGATAGACATGAAAATTAGTGATATATCTTACTCAGCCAAGCGTCACGGTGACAGTCAGTTTGCCTTTACTGTTCAAGTCAGAAATCAGTGGATCCAGATCTGCGTTGGTATCACACTCATTCAACCTATAGAAATAAAACAGTACATTTCGGGGGCTCGATCAATACATTATCTTCTGAACAAACCTGACGTGCGATGCTCTCTTAAAAAGCCATTAGAGAGGTATGCTATGTGGTGTGAGAATAGATGACACTAAAGTACACAACCGACCTTGCATAATACTGCTCTGTATTTATATTGCATGACTGCAAACCATGGCGTCATAACTGTGTATGTAGGATAAAGCAAATCTATAAATATCACAATCAATAAATAAATTATCGATTTACATTTATCTAAAGAAATTTATATTGGTATGAATAAATCCTGAAATGAAGAGATCATCAGATTATGTTTACTTCTGTAAAACTCCCTATACAGCACGTGTTCAATTGCATGGGTAATAGCGATTATATCACTTGAATTGATTCAACTGGAATCTTATATCATGGTGAGTTTTAAAAACAATAATAATTTCATTTCATTTGATATGCAAATTAGCTTCCACCATAAAAATATAACAAATTATATAAGTCCAGTTTGACAACAATTCAAGTTTTTAAGTTTTGTATTCCGGGGCGGTTAACATGGTGGAATAACTTTTTGATTTACATTGCAAATATTTAGTCACCATAGCTATATGAAAATATATGTTCAAATTATAACTTTCCATTTTAATACCCGTAATTGAAAACTCATTTTGCATATTATGTATAAATTACTGTTTTAACCCATCTTGAAATGTACTAATCCTGTGCAGTGTGATAATGCCTACATCCATTACATTGACTGAATTGATTCAACTGGGATCTTAGATCGCAAAGTATGATACAAATATGAATATTGATAACATTTTGCTGGAAGCTCATTTGTATATTTTGAAAATATTTACCATGAAATTGATCCAAAACGTGTCAAACTTGGGCTTATGCTGAAAGGGTGGTAGCGTCGCGTCGCGGCACCTTGACTTGAACGCGACCATTCGTCCAAAGCCCCCCCCCCCCCCGTTTTTTTACGTAGTCTTGCAGATCAGGCGTTTATTAGAATTAAATAAATAAATAACAAGAAACACAATCAAATATTTTACTATGATATCTAAAATGTCTAATAACGGTGTTTACCTAGTCTTGCATATCAGTCGTTTATTTATTAAACTAACGAAAAATAATATCCATTTCTTTCTATGAATGAAATTCAGAAAGCCCCCCCCCCCCCCCGCCCGCTTATCCCGAAAGGGTGCATTAAGGTGGTAGGCCTACTTCGTTATCTATTTATTTATTTATTATTTAATTTGTAAAAAATGTTAAGCATGACTAGTTTACATCAAAAAAGAATTCTAGATCTATACGTAGAAAGCAATGGATATTATTTTTATTTGGCCTTTTTCAAATATTATAAATTAGTTTTATTTAATTTTTAATCTGTTTCTATCTTGATTATATGAATTTAAACGACTTAAATTACTATTCCGTAAATTCTGTTATAAACGACTGATGTGAAAGACTTGTCAACGCACCCTTTCGGCAAAACCGGGGGGGGGGAGGGGGGGGGGGGGGGTTGGACGAATGGTCGCGTTCAAGTCAACGGCATAAGCCTCAAACTTGTTCACGGACGTCAATAACATTGAAGTGTACACTTGTTTGTTAAAATTGCTTATTTCCCACTTTATTAAGATGGAAATATGAATTTCAATTTATTGGTCGTGGTCGAGTGGTTTAAGGCGCTTGACTTGAAGATCATATGGAAACGTTAGCTTGTCTTTGTCTCATAAAAGAAGTTGATCACAAACTGACTACCACACGGTGTTGAGTGCTCAGGGGTCACATGCCACTGGCTTCATCGAGCAGGTAGTTCCATTATGTGAATGGGTAAATTAACAATTACAAAATGAGGGGACACATTACATTGTACAATAGGGACACACATTGTTTTTATTGTGCAGAACATCCTCTTTTATTGACTTACTTATTGCATGAAACTATAAAACCAAAATGCATTTTGTATTCTAACAATTGGAGTAAAAAGAATAATAACAGGTGAATGAAATGCATAAACACCACAAACACCTGGGGAGGAAGCATTCATAAATTTGAATACATATAGTTGATAAACGACTCCGATGAAACTATAAAACCAAAATGAAATTTGCGTTCTGGCAATTGGAGTACAAAGAATGATAGCAGGTGAATTAAATGCTTCAACAGCAACACAAACACCTAGGAAGCTAGGAAGCATCCATAGATTTGAATAATTTAGTTGATAAACGACTCCGCATGTGGATGTTTGTTGGAGCAGAAAGCAGTGGATTCTTAACAACACGAACCCATTTAACAGAATGTCGGAACGTAAATTAAATTTGGCGCGGTTGGAAAATGCATCTTTCTACCCTGCGACTTTAATGGTACGATCCAGTAAAATAAAACAGTAAAATGGCTCTTATTTTAAAATTACTCATTAAATGAAACCCAAAACTTAAGTGATATCAGGAAAAATATGTTAAATCTTACTAATAGTTAAAAAAAGATGTATAAACATTGTGAAGATGTCGCATTTTACGATAAAAGACGCCAATTTAGCGAAGATGACGTCATTAGTGCGCTTGCATCAGGGAATTCAAGGTCAAAAGGTCAATTCAGACACTGATAAGTTATTGGCCGAGCCTTTTTGTTTCCGTTATTCCGACAAAATTATATAATCAATCAAAACAAGTTTAATTCCAGAAGAAAGCTAACGATTAGTATTTTCATTAACCGCTTGCCCCAAAGTCGCTTGACTACAGTGAAACGAGTGAGAGCTTGCGAGAGCGGCCAAAGTGTGATTGAAACTCGCTATTTGCTCTTCTCCAACGCAAAAAGAGACGACATTGTGCTGGATAAATGTATTTTTTCCAACAAAAGTACAGAAAATTTGCATATGGTCTTTTCATATTATACTTTATGAAATGTTACCCGAGTGACTTCCGGGGGCCCCAATGCTGGAAGAAACGCACATTTTAGAAAACTACACTTTTTCATGGAAAAATGCTTATTTGTTCTATGCACGCAAGTCAGATTGAGCGGATGATACAACGTTTCCATATGCGAAGGTCGAGGGTTCGAATCCCGACACGGCACTAATATCCTTTGGCAAGATATTAACCTGCACTTGCTACTCCCAGCCAGGTTGTTAAATGGGTACCCGGTAGGATGCGACAGTCATTGTTGGTCAAACAGTTTTTGAGCGTCATGTAACGTCTGGCTGGAATGCTCCCCAGGGAGTGGAGATTGTGCACACATTGTGTGCGGGCAAGCACTGAATCCATTGACCGGGGTAATAGTATATTTGTAAAGCGCTTAGAGACATTTATATTAAGCGCTATATAAAAAAAAAAAAAATAATAATAATAATAATAATAATTATTATTATTATTATTACTATTATTTCAATTTCTTTATTGTTGAATCTGAAAATGTTTTCATTGTGTTCACTGACCTAACAAATATAATATTACGAACCAAAACCGTTTAAATTGATTATTTACATTGATAGTTTGCAATAACACAAAAGCTAATCGCTTTCGACTACTTAGGTTTTAAAAAAAACTTGTAGTACGTTGTTTACATGAAGAAAAAAACATGTCAATTCTATATGTAAAACAATCTCAAGCAATATCGGTGTGATTAATAAACTTGAATATGTCCTCCCTTCTCCTAACCTTCTTATGCTTTACTCATGTCTCAATTTATCTTATTTAAACTATAATCCTGGTTTGGGTAACACTCATCAGTAGCTTTTAGAGAAATATTATTGCTTTAAACAAATATTATTAAAAATTGTTTCAACCTCAATCCGCGCTCCCATATTGACGAACTTTTTCTTGAAAGCAGATTGCTGAAAGTGAAAGATTTATATTATTTTTAGCTCGGTCAAACTATGTTTCGCTACAATAACAACAAATATCTAAGTTTTTGATCAAATACTTCGCGGAAACAAAACAGTTCATAAATACCCCAGTCGGCGTTTCAATGAATTTCATTTACCATTAATGAGAACTATTCTAGCCCTAAATAATGATGTATTCATCGGCCCGAAATTTGGAAAACCCTTCATGACACCGTAATAAATGCACTACGCCTCCCTTCCTTTAAATCAAAACTCAAAGGATACCTATTATCATTATACAAAACATAATTGCATCTCTTTACTTATGAAATATAACCCAGGTTATATTAATTCTCATTTACATTATGATAATGAATCATATGAACTAACCGTGGACCTTTCATCCCTCGTGTTCTTTTGTTCTCTCTACTCTCACCGCTCTCCCTACGTGTCTCTCCTATTATTATTTCTGCCCTTGTCCTTGTCTGTGTCTGTGTAATTTTCATTTTCTTGACTTTCTTCGTCGTGTCTGACGTCATCGTGATCAATTTTGTACTTTTGAGCCCATGACAATACGCAACTACTGAATCTAAACATATATGGAGTCTACCACTCGAGGATGTTGGAGCACAGGCACAAATGCACTGCTCGACTGTGTCCTTTCCTCTGCATATGAAAGCTCATAATTTCTAGCAGTGCATGTGTTCATTTAATTTTTCTTTTATGAGTAACCCAACCAATACATGATATGCTATTTAAGTTGATTTCTCAATTCCCTATAAAATTCGACTTAAAGGGAGTGTAGCATGACAAATACTGGTTAACGCCATCTACGTCTTTTTTTGACAACTGCACGTAAACGAATGGACTTAATTAATGGTAGTCAGCGACTTAATCTCTACATGGTCAGCGCGCTAGCGTTCGCGAAACAGACCGAAGTTCTCATCACGCTTCGGTTTCGCGTATGTTGCACGCACGTGGATGCTGCGGTCACGTCGTCCGTAGTCGTATTATACCTGATGGGCCCCGAGTAGGGCCACGGGAAAGACACATAGTCCCGTCATGCTACACTCCCTTTAATTTACAAAAATATAATGCTTATATTATATATCTTGTTTCTTTAAATGCGTTGATCACTTCTCGACATTTAATTTCGTATAATTTAATTAAGTTTAATTTTCTATATTATATTGCAAATGTCATTTGATATTAGTTTTATGTAAGCATTAATTCTTTTTTTTTGATTGAGTTTAGGAAATAAAGTTATTTGAATTTAATTGAAAAAAAGTAATACATATTTCCCCAAGTTCACTGTAGCGGGACACATTGTTTAGCAATTGTTGTTTTGTTTTGAGTTAATTACTAATTTGACTGCTGCACGATAAAAAGACAATAATAACAAAGACAGAGAAAATCACTTAAGAGAGAGGTAGCAAATGAAGGGAGAAAACTCACAATAAAAAGGTAAACCAAAATGCATTCCACAATAGGTTTAATATATAAGTAAGTTCTTTATTATAATTTGGCTGTCATTACCCTGGTTTAAAAAAAATGAGACTCACTCTATGCTTGTCAGGTTCGGATGAGCCTTCATGAGTAGGATGATCTCGGCTGTCTTCTCGTTGCCCAGGCCAATGCGGGTAATGGACAACTTGGTGAGCAGAGGACAGGATGTATTAACCGCCTTGCAGAACGACAAAGGATCATCCAGTGTAGTTACTTCTACAGCAGGAAATGATGGATAAGGCAGATCTCCCTCGATGTGAAGGTGAGTTAGATGATGGAATGGAGAGCAGGCCATTTCGACGATAACTGATGAGACATTCTCCCGTCTTGAGCAGTCCAGTTTGAGAGTTTTTATTCGGGGACATGATGTATGAAGTCCTAGAGACCACAGACTGGTCACATGCTTATTCCCCACAGACAGCTCATCTACTGAGGATGTTTGACGAGTCTACAAGAAACAGCGAAGCAAAAAAAAACTCACTTTATATGGTTTGAATGGAAACCAACGCTAATTTAAGAAATTATAGATAACCTGACTCATTATTGTTTTAATATAGTACTTTTAGAGTTCATATCATGCCTGGAAATATTCCGCAAAATTAATATACAATAATTAAACTTTAAGGGATTTCGTCAGTTTAAAGAATATAAGAAGAAATAAACAAACGCGTAGTTTTGTGGCAAATAGGACAAAGAATACAAATATTTCGAACTTTTGGATGCCGAGATTATAAAAGATATAGAGAATGTTCCATTGATATTTCAATCATATTCGATGCCGTTCAGGAAGAATTATTATAACCGATTTCTTTTTCCACAACAAAAGGTTTGTCAATCATAAGACTCAAGAAAAAGCTGTTTTGCAGTAGTTTGGATACAAAAAATTAGAGGATTATTCCCTGTATGACATAACACAGCATGACTGCATTGCAATCACGAGTTCTCACATCATTAGCATTATCGACGTTCACATTAAAAAAAAAACGTTTTTATTCTTTGTCCGTCCTTTCTAAAACCTTCATTAAAATGTTAGTCTTTATTTCGTCTGTTTTCACCATCATGACTAAAGCCAACTTACTAACGAGGGTTAATCCACCTTTGTAAATGGAAGAAGACGGGATTATATATAGTACTCATTGTCATCTTTTTATCATGATATTAGTTCAGCGAGACTAAAACAAATTATTTACATGATTTCACATTACTGAAAGTTTTAGAGCTTTTAGAAAATATGCATGGTTAAACTTAATCCCAAATTGAAAAACTGTGACTGTGCATCTTTATATGTTTGATTTATAAATCCATCCATAGATTTACTAAACAGCCCGTAGTATATGTCGTTTTAACCCTAAAAAGGCCGGGCTATTTGAGGTCTTAGTACGGCCGGGGGGGGGGGGGCATTATCTCCGCGAAAATTTGCACGCATGTCAAGTGAAGTGTATAGAATACTATGATAATTTCAAGTTTTTGAAAAATTCAATCATTTGCATATTTATGGTAATTTATGCAAATAAGGTCATACAAATCACATTTTAACCCATAAATCATATATTACTCATATTTAAGCATTCTTTTTCACTACATATATTCATTAGACCATTCTGAATAATAATACGACAAAAAAAAAATTGGAAGAGCCAGCTTATTCCTAATGTTATCTCTTGTTTTGATAATTTCTTGAGTATTTAATTGTTTTTTGTAACTTATGTATTTTATTGATTTTGTTGTTTTATTTCATTTCTAACTACAACTCAACTATTTTGACTCCCAAAACAACCACCTAAACTTTGAACAAGACCCAACAACCCATATTTGATCTATTTTTTTAGGTAAAATGACTTGTCCATAAGTTTTGTACACAAATCACGAAAATGAGCGATTTTCGGGCTGACATGCAAAGACAAAAGGTCACATGACCTTGTAACCGTAGGTCCAATTTTCAACAAAGAAAAATCTTGGAGGGGGGGGGGGCATGATGTACCCCCGGCCTTATTAGGGTTAAAGGGAGTGTAGCATGGCAAATGCTGGTTAACGCCATCTACGTCTTCTTTTGGACAACTGCATGTAAACGAATGGACTTGATAAACGGTAGTCAGCAACTTAGTCTCTCCATGGTCAGCGCGCTATCGTTCGCGAAACCGATCGAAGTTCTCCTCACTCTTCGGTTTCGCGTATGTTGCACGCACGTGCTGCGGTCTCGTCGTCCGTAGTCGTTACCCAATTGGCCCCGAGTATGGCCACAGGAAAGACACGTAGTCTCGTCATGCTAAACTCCCTTCAACTTGAGTTCAAGAAGAAATACATTATCCTTTCGGCAATTCCTTTATCAGTCATATTTAGTCTATTTTTTTTTAATATTCCACTTAGTAAGAATCTTGCTCTACGATTGGTCAAAAGTAAATCACATGATGAAACATAGTTCGCCCATCATTGATGGATGAAGGAAAGTTCGTTGTACTCAGTAGATAGTGTAATCTACACAGTGCAACGCACTTTCACTGAAGATAGAAGTACTATCTACAGAGTGCAACGCACTTTATTTGTATACGTTGCGTATTGCTCTCCTCTTTAAGCGCTTTTAGTGTATAGTACGCGAACTTTGGTCACGCGAGAACTATGGTCACACCACAATGCTGCATACACTGTACGTTTCGTACACCGTAAGCTAGCTGTTAATTGATGACTTGTTGCTCTAAAATAACGGAAGAAGTGAAAAGTTTCCGATGTGGAATATAAAGCAAATAATCCCCTTTTGGTTTCAGGTGATGGGACAAACTATCACTTCCTCGGCGATCTTCGGAAGGATAGCTACATCCAGATCGCCTCGGAAGTAATAGTTTGTCCCATCACCTTCGCCAACGGTAATTATTTGCTTACTTAACCCCTTCCTTTTGAGCTTGGATCAAAAAGAGGATTTTGACTTCAATCTTAGAATGGTAAAGATACAAACCAGAGTCTCTCCATCGTCCATGTCAATTCGTCCGATACCCCCCAAGGCGAGTGACTGGAGGCGTGGTAGCGAGAGAATGGAGTCTAGTCTTCGTGGACTCATCGTGGAAACATCCAACATACTCAGCGTCTGGATCTGTGCCAAGACAATTTATCAGTTCACACCAAAGAGAAATCCACGATGCGATCCAATTATTGTTTTTACTAACATAAACATCTTTTTAAATCACATCTAACAGCATATGAATCTGCATCCCTGTAACTTTATCATGCACTAAGTCTGCATATTTTGTCTCGACTTCTGCTATAGTTCAAATAAATCAACATATTATAATGAACAAAACAAAAAAGCATTTCAATATGTTTGGCATGATGTATTTCAATAGAGTTACTTAAGCTATTGTATCGGTGGGATGACATTACATCAAAATTATATCTTCAAGAGAGTACGTTATATTATATATACCTCATACATAGTGTTGCGGACAGAATTAAGTCGTCATTTTGTATAAATTAGTTTGGCCGGTGGGGGCGTTTACCACTACGGACAGCAAATTTTTATGTGAGTGGGAAGATATACCCAGTGATTCCACCGATTATTATTTAAGTCAATCCTGTCGAAGCCCAATGTTGTAAGTGTTAATTGATGTCAAATCCTGTAGTTCAGATGTTAAAAAATAGTATGATTATTAATTTGTGATAATTTGGAGTGTATTAGTAACTGTATTTTGATGAAAAGGGTTATGAAATAGCTACATGGTTGGGCATTTCAAAATGGCTGCTCGCATAAGCATGTATAACAAGTGGATAGGATTGTACATGTATGTGAGTTGATAAAGGCACATATGAAACCTAAATAATGACATGTAAGGTCAGGGATATATATGTTATGAGCATGGGTGTCGATCCCGGGGGGGGGGGGGATGGCCTGTACAATTATCCCCCCCCCCCAAAAAAAAAAAAAAAAATATTCATCATCAACAAAAATGAAGAGAAAAGTTAATGATGAGAGCCCGATGAGAGTAGTTAAAGGTTATTACTAGCAAGATGACCATCTATATACACATTTTGCCATCTCATTTTCATAATACTTACATATATAAATGGAAAACAAAGTAAATGAGACAAGATTAAATTGAATTCTCGCTCATACGGCTTCATCAGGAATTGATGAATTATTCAATTTATTCAATGAACAGCATCATAGAAATGCAGTGCGCCAAATGCAAAGCCGCAGCGTTAAAAAGCAACGAGCTAAATGTTAAGTGCGAAGCGCAAAAGTGCAAACAAGAAGTAGAGAGTGGGAGAGAGAGATAGTGAGAGACAGAGAGGATAATAACTCAGATAGCAAGCCCATGTGGGACCCACATGGGTCCCATATTCTCTGAAACATGGGCCCCATATGGAAATCCATCTGGGGCCCTTAGGCATCTGCACCCAAGAAACATATGGGACCCATATAATATGGGTAAACCCATATAAGACAGATGGGACCCGAATGGGACCCATACCAAACTGGGCCCAAATGGGTATGCCCAGCTTAATCCCATCTGGTACCCATATTGGTTAACCCAGATATATCCCATGTTGGTTAACCCAGATTTTCCCAATGTGTTCCCCATATGGGCATATTCATATTCTACCTCTATGTGCATGTACGCCCAGCTCATTCCCATCTGGGTCCATTAGGGCTGGCCCAGATAGATCCCATATGGGTTACTAAATATTATATGGGTTCCATTTAGCCCAGATGGCACAAGTGACCCATATCATCCCCATATGGGCTTGCTACCTGGGGAAAAGGGAAAAGGGGAAGAAACGGGCAAAAGAAAAAAAAGGTAGGGGAAAAGAAAAGGAAGAAAGACAAGAGAAAGACGTTTTTTCCAAATGGCAGCATGTAGGAGACGAAACTTTCAGTTTGTTCCCTGATTCATACTCAGTATCTATTTTGTTATATTTATTTTATCCATTTCTTTGTTTATTTATATCTCTACGTGTAAAACATTTAAAGAGCTATTTTTCGAAAGGAGCAAAATCTTTTGATAGCAAATGAAGATAATGATAAACATGTTCCTATATACCTTGAACAAAATTATTAACCTAAATTACGAGAGAAATTATGAACACATGCATCTTTTAATAACAATTTTCCATAGACACCTGAACAAAATCGGGTAAACAAAGAGATCTTTCTTAAGTTACACACATGGATGTAGTGCCTCTTGAAGATAAGCTCTTTTTATGTACATTAACAATCAATACAACAGAATATTCCAGTTCGATATTTTGGAGAAAGATTATTATGTCCCAACTTATTTTTGTTTTATTGAAAAGCTGATGTAGGCCTATTTATTGTATTCAAATGTAACAGGTATAAGATAGTTAAGGTGTGTTTTAAGGTTAGAATGATATTAAGTTTGAAGTTTTGTTTATAACACCTTCCAATAATAATGCACCTTTTAAGACTGGTTATATAGTTTTTGAAGAAAAAAAGAGTGC